TATAAATGTCATGAAGTATCATCTACCGCCTTTAGTCAATTCGTCATTCATTTGGCATAAATCAGAATGAACGAGTTCTAATGGTGCCAAGTTCCTCGCCTCAGCAGCCTTGTGAGGCTTGCGCGGTTGCTTCGATTGCACACATACTTGGCACTTAGAATCTTTGACTAAGTTAAATTTCGGGATTAAATTCAGATTTGCAAGCCACGTGAGATAACCAAAATTAATGTGACAAAGTCATGAATGCCATATATTCAACTCATCCGAAACATTAACATTGTTCACTACTTTATTACACACATCATCAAGCAAAGATAAGTGGAACAGGCTTCCGCAATCATAACCTTTTCCAACAAATGTTCCATGTCTCGATACAACACACTTATTAGACTCAAATACAATTTTAAAGCCATCGCGACACATATGAGAAGTGCTAGCAAGATTCTTTTTGATGGAGGGGACATGCTGCACGTTCTTTAACAGCACCGTCTTTCCCGAAGTAAACTTCAGAACGACCCTACCAGCACCAAGAACACGCGCATGTGAACCGTTTCCCATCAGCAAGGCTCTAGTCCTGCTGGCCTGATAGGAAATAAACAAAGAAACATCAGCACACACATGAATGTTAGCACCGCTGTCCATCCACCACTCAGGTGAAAGACAAACTGAAAGAACAAAAGGTAAAGAATTACCATATCTAGATGTTACTCCTCTAGTCTCGCTAATCACCATGTTTGTTGATTTCTTTTTTTTGCTTATATTTGCGGTCTAGGCATGCACTTGCCCAATGCTCATCACTCCCGCAAACAAAGCAACATCCACCTTTCTTGTTATTTTTCTTCTAAAACTGTGCAGTCTGCTTAGGCTTTACATTGTTGTTCTCTTGTATGTTCTTCTTTTTATTACGGAATGCAAATGAGTTTTTCTTCTGCACCATATTGGCAGCGGAAGACTCAACTCCTTTTCCACGGTTGTCTTTTGCTCTCGCCCTCTCCTCAACATCAAGAGATCCGATAAGTTCAGCCACGCTAAACTCCTGTCTCTTGTGTTTTAGAGAAGTAGCAAAATTCCTCCAAGAAGGTGGCAGCTTAGCGATTATACCGCCGGTCATAAACTTGTCGGGCAACAGGCATGGAAAATGTTCTAGTTCCTTTGCTAGCGCCTGTATCTCATGAGCCTGTTCGACCACAGAACGGTCTTCAACCATTTTGTAGTCATACAGCTGCTCCATAAGGTATAGCTCACTACCAGCGTCAGAAACTTCAAACTTTGCCTCAAGAGCATCCCATAACTCTTTGCCTGATGTGCAAGATATGTAGTTTTTCTCATACTTGGGATGAAGTGCACTAATCACGGTGCCTCGAAATAGGTTATCGGCAGCCAAGAACTTTTGCTCCTCCTCATGAGTAAACTGTTCAGGCTTCCTCTGTGCGGCGTGATAGTAGTTCATCGCAGTCAACCACAATACCATCTTGGCACGCCATATCATGAAATTCTTGCCATCAAAATTATTTGGCTTAAAAGCAGCAGCAAAACCACTGACAGAAAATTGCCTAAGATTAGGTTTTTGGATTGTTAGAGAATTAGGCATTTTCATTATCAATTTAATCCAGAAAATTAACATCAGCACAGTCGTGACGACATATATGTGCATGTGTATATTTCTAACGAACGCTACAACATGCAGACATAACATACAGATGAATACAGTAAAAGCATAAAGTACAGTAATCACAGAGATTAGATTGTACCCAGCGGAGGGTCCCATGCCGAGGGCATCAGAGGCTCCATTCGCACTAGTCGACATAGTGCGTTGCTCGAAGTCGTGGACCACAGTCGATGTAGGACGATGTTCGCAGTGCAATCCCACGAACGGATCACTAGGAAGAAGGCGCTTTGGTGTTCCACAGGCCATCACCGGGAAGAAGACAGGTTCCGAGCGATCACCACCAGGAAGAAGACGTACGTGGACGAGCAGTCGTGGATCGCTCCCCAGAAACCTAATCGCGCACACCCCGTGCAAGGTTCTTAGGCGGACGAGGGTTTCGGAGGCAACTGCTCTCCCGCTACTCCGTGCGCGCAGAGGTACGGGTCAGGGAAGCCAGAGGGTTGCTGAGACACGACCATGGCCTGGCCTGGCCGCCGTCGGCGGCGGCGACGCGCGCGCGCGTGTGGCACGCCTTTGTCCTTTTCTCGGCTTCTCAATTAAGATGAATAATTTCCAACCATATAAGCTGAATCACCGTTCAATCAAAATCTCGTATGATATCCCTAGTAGAGAAACGAGCTATACTCCCGGTTCTCAACCCCCTTCTGTCCCGGTTTTGGAACCGGGAGCACGAATCCGGGACTAAAGGTCCCTCCTTTAGTCCCGGTTTCGCGCCCGGGACTAAAGGTCAGTTGGTAATACCAACTGGGGCTAAAGGGCCCCTCCTTTAGTCCCGGTTTCTCGCCCAGGACTAAAGGACCTTTAGTCCTGGTTGATAAAACTGGATGCGTACAAAAAAATCAATAGAACAACTAAACTTACGGACTTGAATGGATGACGAAATATAAACGCAGAATCAAAGATATACAGCCTCAAATCAAACGCATGCAGTTCATCCAGAATCATCATCAACATACGGATAGTAGGCAAAGACGACAGATACTAACATAACAGTCACCATACACGAACTCCAGATGACAAAGGATAGATCAATCACCATACAAACTCAGATCCATCAACCCTAACATGACAGTACTGGAAGAGATACCATAAAACTCAGCAGTTGATACTATAATACTAGTAGTAGCATATGAAGATAACTAGTCACACCACCGGCAGCTTGCTTTTTCCTCCTACGGGGCCACGCCGTCGACGGCCTGTGGAGCCTCCTCAGCTGCCTCCTCCTCCTCCTCCCTCACGAGAGCCAAGAAGCGGGTGACCGGCGCTGAAAGAACCTGCTCCCGCCGCGGATGGGCTTCTCGACGATGAACACCTCGGTGCCCCGCCCTCCTTGACCATGACGCCAACCTTCTTCGGCTTCGCCATCTTGGCGAGTGTGCGCACGACGGCCGCGGGGTCGGCTTCGTGCAGCGGGAGGGGTGCGGTACTTCTCCATGGGCTGAGGGCGGCACGGGTCAGGCGGATGACTGCGGTGGGATGGCAGAGACGGAAGCAGATGGGTGGGAAGTGGGATGACGATGCGAGAGAGAGGGGACTGGGGATGGGGACGCTGCTTTAAAGCCGGGAGTAGACTTTTACTCCCGGTTGGAGGGACCAACCGCTTTTAGTCCCGGTTGGTAGCTCCAACCGGGACTAAAGGTCCCGTAGACTTTTACTCCCGGTTGGAGGGACCAACCGAGAGTAAAAGTTAACTTTTAGTCCCGGTTGGTAGATCCAACCGGGACTAAAGGTCCCGTAGACTTTTACTCCCTGTTGGAGGGACCAACTGGGAGTAAAAGTTAACCTTTAGTCCCGGTTGGTAGCTCCAACTGGGACTAAAGGTCTCCTGCAGCAAAAGCCTGCCGCAGCAGCCGTTGGGCAGGGACCTTTAGTCCCGGTTTAATCTACAAACCGGGACTAAATGTCTCTCTAATCCCGGGCGCAAAAAATACCGGGACTAAAGCCAAATTTCGAGGCGGGATCAAAGGTCGTTTCTCTACTAGTGTATTAAACCATACAACGCTTAATGTTACAGACCATAGAGTTTTATTTAATTTATTAAATATTATACGGGCCAAGCCCATAATATATCCAACAACAACAATGCTGAGCTGCTTCAATGCATGAAGTTTGCCTGCTCTTGTGTGCTTTTTTCTCCAAAGGAAAGGCCTACAGTGTTTGCGGTTTACCAGCTTCTGAGAGCTGTTGGAGAGAAATATCATTTCAGTGCAGCTGATGATGAATTGATGATGCAACCTCAAAATGCCAATCCTGAAGATGAGCTTATTGTAGCAAAGTAGTTGAACCTATGTGATTAGTAGGTGCTTGTCAGATACCAAATATGATAGGAGTTGCTTTAACTTGGAATAATCAGGTTGATTAGAATCATTTCTCTATCTTTTATCAGGCAAGCACTAGGATTTGTTATTCTATTGTAATGTATATCGATATGTGGTGTTTACATTTGTACATCCTTGCCTTGCTGTGTATCCTCCGGATTGTCTTCTCGTTGTGTTGTAAGATGGATCAGCTGTATCGTCATCGAAATTTTAGCTGTAGTGGTAGCAATGTGAAACATTGTTGGCCCATCAGTGATCAGTCATGCATCTGCAGCATTGTGGTGCTTTTCGTTTAGCATTTCTGTATCCTTTTCATACTCCTTTCTAAATTGAAATGTTAGACCAGTTCGAGAAGGTCTGGGACATGCTGGTAGGCACCTGGCCGGGTGTTTTGTTTTGTATATGCACGATGTGGTACTTATATGCACCTGGCCGGGTGTTTTGTTTTGTATATGCACGTCCTGGGGCTTACGTATATAATTGGCGCATATTTCTTATTTGATCTGTGGTGCTGCTTTCCAACAGCCAGATGACGCTGCTGCCAGCAGCAGACCTCTCATATCATTTCTGTGTTTCACTTTTAGAGAGTGCTACTGAAATAAGTTTGTGGAACACGTGTCCATCCCTAACAGAAGAATATTTAACCCTGCAGATGGAGTTATGCATCCTTTTGATTAATGTATATTTCTTCCTCGAAAGGCCAGCACTTCTGTTTCCTGTCTACGACTCCAAATATAAAACCCATAAGTTTTGTTGCAAACAGTTACCTTTGAAAAAAATATGAATTATGATGTCAAATCCTGTGGAACCTAACATATTTCTCATCAACAAAGTAGCAGAGTTGTAGGATGTCCAACTCGGAAATAAAATACTATCACTCATCTACACAGGCTTTATTACAGCGATTCCAAACTACCCAAACAATAGTGCTGTTTGGCAAACATTTCAACATATGCTGTTCCCTTATGTTTCCAACATAAAGCAGATGGAACCAATAACTGAAGGTGATGAAGCTAGACCATATCGAGGAGCTCTGAATTGAAATTCTGACCCAACCGAAATCTAAGCTTCAAGATGGGCCATTCACCAAGAATCTTAGTGAGAATGGGCAGTAAAGACGTCAGAGTGCATACCGCAACGGCCAACCATAGGAGACGAGGAGCCAGAACAGTGTATAAACCAGTTGCGAATGCTGTGGTGGTTGCCATGTATGCAAACCACATAAGCTTCTTTGTAAAAGACCTGTAGTGAAGCAGGAACTCAAGATCCTCCCACCTGGCTATGATGCATACAAAGGCAACAGCAAGTGAGGAGCACATAGCCAAGGTGTCGGAGATCAGGAATGCCTTAAACGCAAACTTCCTTGCCATGATGGGAAGCCCCTCGGTTCCAGCATCAGTGCTATATCCTCCGGGCAAAGTGAAAGCAGCAGCAAAGGTAATGGTGGCAATGAGAATCGCCACCAGGGAAGTGTTGCCTGTATATGTTTGAGTCAGTGACTTGATATCCTCCCTAGATGATTCTGTCACTTCATGGTGGGCTTCCCTCCAGACATTATAAATATTTGTTGCGTCTTGAGGATCAGCTTTCAACATAAGCATGGATACTTCGTTCTGCATATAGAAAGATTGAAAAGGAGCTTGGTAACCATGATAGTCTAAATCTGATGTTTCAGGTAAGGAAGATGGATCGACACGCGCGTGCAGAGAAGATTGGCATAAACACTGATTTTTTGTGGAGTAATTAAAGTAGTACTATACGTACTAATAATTAAGAAAACCTATATACGACGTAACGTACGTACCCAGTTTAATGTCTTCGAATGGTCGGTGGTAGTCGCCAAGTTCCCTACTGCAGGGCTTCCTCTGTTGTTAAGCACTGTGACGTCTATGTCTGGGTGAAGCAGTAAAGCAGCGACCATCTTCGGATTGCACTTTTGGAGTGCGAGGTGCAGAGCAGTATATCCATCGTTATCTCGCATGTTAATGAGTCTACCGAATTGTGGCAAACCCAGGACAAAATCTACGAACTCCATCTGTCCGGCCCACACAGCTTGGTGCAGACATATCCAGCCATTTGTTTCAGCAAGGGGCGCATCTGGACAATGTTTAAGAAGCTCTCGGGCAACGCCAACATGGCCTCTGAATGCAGCAGAAACAAGAAGAGGGGCACCACCGGAGGAGGCTACATACCCTAAAGACCGATCATGATCCAACAGTACACTTAGCACGTCAATCTTGTCCCGAAGTACAGCCAGCTGCAGTGGAGTGTTTTTGTTATCCTTGTCTTCTTCTGTTGCGAGCGCAGGACGTGTCTCCATAATCTGTTTAGCGATAGCTGCAAATCATGTAAGTAATTAAAGAAGGTCAACATCCATCGAATGACGACATGTGTGATATGATGGGGTGGTAATAAATTAAAGGGCACGTCTGCTTTGTATCTGTTTTCGGCCCAAGCCATATTTAACAAGCTAGTCAGAAAAATTTTGGCACCCATTTGCATTGGTTCGTGGCCAATATAGTTTGACATGCCCCAGCTAACTAATATTTGCCATGCCCAGCTTTGGAATGAGGAGGACATTGCACGGGCCATCATGCATGCATTTTGCTCGGCTAGATCCAGCATCTGGGCTCGCGGATCCGGCCACCAACGGTGGCGAGGGCACGGATCCGGCCACCACCGACGTGGATCCTGCAAACAGCAGCGGCGTGGGCGTGGATCCGACCACCAGCGGCGGCACGACGTTCCCGGAAGCGGGCCCAGCGTTGGGCCTGAGAGTGGATTCGGCATCGGGCCTAGATTTTTTTTATCGATTTACCGAGGCGGGCGTTATAAGGCGCCCGCCTCCGCTAACTGATTAACCGAGGCGGGCAAGGCAACCGCCTCCTTTATTCATGGATTAACCGTGATCTTTCGATGGTGCCGGTTGCCTTTGCCCTCCTCCGAAAATAAAAAATGCCTGCCTCCATTAAGTTTATTGTAGTAGTGTAGGAAGGATAGTAAAAAAAGGCAATCTTCTCTCTCATAGATTGGCTTGGCCACCAAAATCGAAACAACTTTTTTATTGCCCTGTTTTGTTATTCCCCAGAAATTTTTGGATTGGCTCACTGACTTGGCATGGACTAAAACCAAAAGAATAATAGTACGTCACCCCTTACACAGATTTTAGTTTCACGAAAAGAAGAAGCAGCAAAAAGGTATAGGACCTGGCATGTCTCACCTGAATTTCCATTTCTCACCGCAGCATGAAGAGCATTCTGGCCATTCACCCCCCCATGAGCAGAATCAGGAATCTGCAACAGTTTCTCGAAGACATCCTTGTAATTTCTCATCACCGCGATGAACATGGGTGACTCATCGTATTTGTTCACAGCTTTGGACAAAGCAGGCTCCGCTGCGATCAGCTCCAGCGCAAGTTCCCTGTGGCCGCTTCGGATGGCGTGGTGCAGTGCATTGTTCCCTTTCTTGTCTTGCATCAAGATTGCCTCGCTCAGATGGAGATCACGGTAGCACCTGAGAAAAGATGAAGCTAAAGTGGTACTGGTACGGCCACTTGTCACTGCTGCGACAAGTGGAGTCTCCCTGTCATTGTTGACAGCGGAGAGGAGCGACAGGTTCAGGGCCGTGACATCCATGCAGAATCCATCATGGCCATGCGCGGCGGAGATGTGGAGGCAGGTGTTGCCCTGTGGAGTTGTTCCAAGCAGCACGGCTGGGTCATGAACTGCCAAGTGTTTCATCATTGTCGCGTCACCAGATGCCGCGGCATCAAGCAGCCGGCTGTCCATCATCGTTGTCCTTTTCCCTAGATATAAATAATAAATTGTTGGATCGAAAATCAGTATAATGTTCCAGAAAAGTATTGAACTGTCTGCTCAATAATTGTCAGTAATAATTGTCAGTATACAATATCTCACCCACCCATTACACAGGGATAAACACGCACCACAATGCTCACCAGTTACTAATTTATGCACCACCGCGCGCACCTACTAATGTGCTTCCTATATATTATGAAATTATATGCTTATAAAGGATTAACTCGTTGTTTGCCCCTTGGATCAAATAAGCTCTAATTTGTGGGAGGTATAACAAACAAGGAGATTTTAATACCTGCTTCCATAATTTGGCAGTTGGCAGCTGGACGTTGATGGAGGCAGGCATGCAAGGAGGAACAACAACTGTTAGATCGATCAACGCAGCCAATAAACCAGTGTCCCTTGGTGAAGTCTTTTTATAGAACCAAGAACACTAGAGAAAGATGCCTCAGTTACTCGGACCAGCAAAGAACAGATGATGGCATGACTCATGAGCAACGCTGGATTCGTCAGTTTTTGGTGGTATATCCCTGCCGTGTTGTCTATTCTCAAGATTGGTATATATGTTCTTCTCTTCCAACACAGAACTTTTTGAGGATTCAAACTTCAGCTGTAGTGGTAGAGGGTAAACTTCCATTTTCAACCTCCCACTTGCATATCAGTCCTGTTTTTAATCCTGAAGTATATACCAAACGGGATATCAAACACCCTTCAACTATTGTAACAGAACACATTTGGTTCTCTAGCTGGTTTCAAATATTGTCTTTCTATTTTTTGAAACTAATAAAATCTAGTTTAATCTCTAAAAATAATAATTAGCTTCTATCAATACGACACAAGCCGTCAAAGAGAACGGAAACAACTTCCATCTTAAAGTTTCATCAGACATGTCAGCGATATGCAAGCATGTACAGGTCTGTGCAAACTCCCATAGGTGTGAGTATATGTTTTGATTGTCTTCTCCCGAGAAGGATTGTTCCCAAATCAGTTTTTATTAAACACGGGCGCAACTCATAGCAAGGTGTTAGGATAGGCTATGAAGATTTTGGTGATTTTAGGCTTGTGCTCGTCGGTTTAGCATATTGATATATAGGTGTGTTATCCATGCTAAAAGAAAAAAAGTAAAACAAAAGACAAAAAGCTAAGCTAGATTCATAGTTAATTCAGCAACCGTTTCTCCAGCAACGGCGCCAGAAAGCTTGTTGGTATTTATCAACGCACATAGATAAATCCGCAAGCGCATGGATACCGCTGTAGCTTTCATCCAGAAATATTCCAAGTATCGTATCCACAGGGAAACGTGTGAGACTAACTACAGTCTAACTTAACTAAGGGTAGCAACAATGTTAGGATAAACAAGTGCATAGAGAGGATAACTAAGGTTATCTTGTTCTGACTTCGGTAAGCTATGTCTTCTACTATTCAACTTGGGACATTACTAACGAAAGACACCAGCAGAGGATGCTTTCCTTCGTAACCGAGTCCTACTTGGTCTACAAATGGGAGGTGGACTACAGAGGATTCAACGAGGCTATAAAAGTCACCCTCGTGAGCTACCACCGATCCGGAATGTAGGGTGCATCCACGATTAACCCAAGTCTAAGCACCACGCTTACACTTATGATTAATACTTTACTCTCTCTAGAACAAGAATAAAGCACTCAAAAGAGTCGCAATCCTGATGAACAATATAAACAAGATGCTTACTTGAATCAGAAGTTGATTACCAGAGAAATTTCAGAGGTAAGCTCAGATAGAACTTGGATCCATCAAGGTACAAGCCATAGAGAGAGAGCACCGACAGGCCGGCACCTCCTCCAAACTCTTTCCTCACTCTCTATCTCACTATTTCTATTTACAAGACTAGATCCTATGGAGGACTAATCTTCTCTTGATAGCTGGCTCTGATCCTAATAAGGAGGATATGAATTAGGGTTTCAGGATAGCTCTACTGGAGGGGGTACAGTGCCGTATATATAGGGGGTAGCGTTAATTCTGGACCCTCGAATCAAACCGACTTAAAAGGACGGCATAGATGCAATCTAGGAGGCGGTGGAGAACCGACATTCGAAGGAGAGCATGACATATGGGTCCCATGGGCCGGCCGGCCTACAGGTGGGGCCGGTTGGCCCCACATGTCAGCCTCTCGAGGTCTATCACGGAGGGTTGTCTTCTGGTGTCTTTTGGAACCTTCTAGTGTTGGTTTCGTCGCGGATAAGTATGATTAATTCTAACATTTAGGTCCCTCGGGACGGTTTTCTAGATATACCCTGCTGAAAACACAGATTCAGCAAAACTTATGGAATTTGTCAGTTTAAACCTCTATACCTATGTTTGGCGATGGAATTAAGTATATATGTAAGATATGTTGACGGTTGATAATTGAGGTTAATGACTGTCAACAGGCCTCTAAGCCCTATGTCCAACAATGGTGTTCTTTATGTTAGGAATGCTCAATCGAGAGTTCTTACAATAAAGGAAGAGAGAGAGAGAGAAGGGTAGGGCATAGCACTATGCTAATCTAGGATGTTATCGCTGTCCGGCCGTCCCTTTTTATAGGAGCCCATGCCTTCCCTTATATACCGGAAAGGTGATGGGAGTACAAATCGAATGGTTTCTCCTAGGGTTTCTTGTGCCCTATGCTTCTGTCTTCGTATTCTTAGTGACACCGGTCCTCCTTTCTCTTCTAGTTGGGGGCCGATGAAATTGCAACCACCTTTGCCTTGACCATCTGCCCGTTATGCTGGGCTCCAAAAGGTGGCTCAGCACATCATGTTCGGACAAGGCCAAAGGCT